TTATCCATCATTTTAATTGGAAGCCTTCCCAGACATTTTGGCTAGTTCATATCGATTTCCTTCACTTTAAGTATCTTTTCTAACAATTAGAGATTTGTCTCAATATTCAAAAAAATACTCTCGCTAGTTTCTGTGTGCTTTATCTCCTAACTTGTCAACCTCTTCACAATGTACTTATGAGGGTTTACTTGATATGGTAAAAGTTATATAGTCCAAAACCCCTGACAGACATGAAGCATATTATTGCTATGTCTGAAAATAACTACAATATTAGACAAAGGCTTAAATAAGCCTCTTATTTAAAAAGAACTTAGAACATAAAGGCATGTTCTGATGCTAACAAAATCAATTACAGCTCAAGGAGATGTAATTATACAAGAACAGTCAAATTCAAACTAATAATGTGGACTAGTGGTCAAAGATTATACAATTTAATTTTAATTTAATCAAATGAGGAAATAAAAATGGGAAATTACAGTAAAGGCTGAAATCATAAACAATTGGGTAATTTACATAATAATAACTGCACATATCTTTGAAGAATAATTTTCTTTATGTACGCAGTTTCTTTCTTCAACATATTTCCTTTACATTTTAGAATTTTTGGATTTAATTACGGATTTCTTTTATTCTAAAAAACACTAAATGCATTTAGAATGTTCAGGAAATGTGGCTACTTTTATTTTAGTACTATGAACATTCAGAAGAAATATGGAATATATATGGTAAAGTCTGGTTACAGAGCTGATGTGGTAGAATTTTTAGAATTTAGTGACACACCGAACAAAAAATTCTAGAAATGTCAAAACTTTTAGAATTTAGAACAGGCATTGGAAGCAGAATTTAAAAAGGTACTAGACAGCAGACTTTAGGATCCACAGAGATCGCATCAGGTGGGAAAATGCCTATTTCCAGCTATGTGTATGATGCATTAAGACATATTAGATAAACCTTTTAAATTGTAAATTTTTAATTTCTTTATTAATAAAAAAACTCTTTCTATAATTGCCTGCCCATGTGATAAGATTAAAAGCATTTTTGATATTTTCCATGCTTGTATCTAGTGAAAAAGTAGAGAAAATAAAGGGAAGATAAACATGTTAAGATTCTAGTATCATAAGCAAAAACATTGAAATATTATGTTTTCATTGTTCTTCTAGACATTCTCCAAAAATTAATTCATTGTAAACTTTCCGTAAAATACATCCATTACGTGTTGATGCCATGGAGATATTTTTCATATTGTCACCTATTTCTTGAATCTTCTAGAATCATGGGTCTATATATCTTGCCTTCAAATCCTTCTAAACTTTCCAAGCTGCAATGTCTAAAATCCTAAAGAAAAATTATCCCTACCAATTCTGTAACAGCAAAAAGCCAGAAATATTTTGGGAAAAAAAGAAGGAAAAAGTGTAAAATTAATTTTATAGAGAAAACAGACGCATATTCTGAGAATTTTGAATATTCTGAGACAATTAATTACATAGGGAAAAACTCTTACTATGAAAAAATAGTGAACTGAATCCTGCTATTCAGTTCACTTTTGAACTTGAGACTTGCAATTCTCTCCCGTTTCTCGATATTCTGGTCACACGTAACACATCCAACTTCAGTACTACAGTTTACCGTAAACCTTCATCGGTTTGCCTTCCACCACACTTTAAATCATGTCATCCGACTAAACAAAAGTTAGCTTCATTTTATTCCTATGTTTTCCGTGCTCTTCAAGTTTGTTCCTCCAAACTAGCCCTTGATGAAGAACTAAATTATTTAAAAGCAATAGCTATTGACAGGGCTTTTCACCCAACATTATTAATCAAGCAGTTAAAAAATTGTCATCTCAACACACTAAAAGGCACACTCTTATTTTAGGAGATTATAAAAATTCTGTTGTCATTCCTTCTTTCCATCAATTAGCTATAAAGTTGCAAATATTTTGGCAGAAATTTAACTTTCGGGTTGTTTATTCTCCCATCAATAAAATTCCAATTTCTATACTCAAGGACCCCATTCCGGATATGAATTCCTGGGGTATTTATAGGATTCCTTGCCAGTGTGGTTTAATTTACATTGGTCAAACTAAGAGAGCCTTAAAATTTCGCGTCAAAGAACATGAGCATATGTTAGAAAAAAGGAAACACAGAAGTCTCTGTTGCTCAACATTTTTGGTCCGAAAATCACACTTTCAATTTTTCTGCTGCCAAAATTATTCAAAAACATCTTCCATTGGAGAACTGGATTTTCTAGAGGCATTTCACATTCATAAAAATCTTTCTGTTCTAGTTAACGATCCTAATTCCAATCCAAATTTGCCTTCGGCTTTTAGAGAAATTATGTTTTAGTTCTGGTTTCGCCAACAGATGGCGCCACTTGCTTATTCTTGTCCAGGCTTTCTTATCTTATCTAATCATTATTTCCTATCTTGTTCATTTGCGGTTTTGCAGCTGAAGATGATGGTTCGGTAAAACCATCGAAACTAGTCCTGTGAAAATTTTGTGAATATAACGCTGATTTTTGTTGTTTGACTTCTGAATTAACAGAAATACCAATTTCATACCGCATTTAACATGCCACCACATAATCACTATCCTATTTATATGACAGCTAGACATACTATCCAGAAATTTCATACTATGGTTCACAAATAAATCTTCAAAACTTTCTTTTCCTAAATCCTTGTAAGATTTCCATCTTTTGCCGAACTTCGATTCATCAACTTCCACCACTTTATCTTCCCCCCCATCTTCTCAGACACAGAGCATTATACAGAGCAGACTCGTTAATAACTCCAACATCGTACCTTTTAATACTAAATTTCTTTTGCACACAATCTAAAATACGTGACTGAAATCTTGCCACCACGTCTCTCATTGCAATTATAGGCCATTTCAAAACACGCACGACATGAACCAAAGAGCAATTAAACCACTCCACCAAAAGATTTTTCAACGTCAACAGGGTTGCCATACAACACACAACACATATTGTCACATTTGGTGATATTAGGGTGCATATAAGAGTAGAGCCTTCGTGGTCCTCGCAAATAATCCAATAACTTGCTAGCATCTTAAAGCTTCACGTTTCATTCTAAATACATAAATAACTATTATTTATTAACAATCAATTTATTTAGGAAAGAAGACTGGCAACTTCAGCCAGCAAAAGCAAATGAGAAAAAGAACAGTGAGTGTAACAGCAAAGAAATTTATTAGATAAATTTATAACTCATTCAGAAAAGAATGCTGGAAAGGAACCTCAAAGAGTTGATACAAAATGTTAAGCCAAAAGAACCAATGAGTAACCTGAAATGAAACTGACAGGTGAACAATTTGTGATATAGATATTATCAATAAAATAGCATAGAACAACAAAGAGGAATTGGATCAATAATTAGCAGACTATGGTACAATTAAAGATGATCGAGTTCTCAAGTCAAGAAATATTTAATATCTAACTTCTTGGGCAGAAAAACTTCCAACAATTCTTTCGCAGTGAATACTCATAAATGCAAAACCACCAACCAAACTGTTGCATTCCTTCAATTTGGTAGAGAGCTATGTAGACCGGATGATGTTAAACCTGATCTTAGGCATATTATATCCAATGATAATTTTGTAGCAGAGATTACCTCATATTTGAAGAGATTTGCCACCACAGTTAACCAGCTAAAGGAACTAATTGAAAAGAAACTGGACTACCGAAAACAATATGCTGACGCAGGTCGAATACACCTGGAGATTGGGTTTGGATTTCCAAGCATCATGTGAGTAGATCTGCCGAACAGAAAACATCTAAGTTTATGTCTCGTTAAGATGGCCCTTACGTTATTATAACTCAATGCTCAATGACTACCTATGAGGTTTCAAACTTAAGTGAGCCACATACTCTATTAGGTGTTTATCATTCTTCGGCCTTAAGACCTTGTTTTGACTCGAGTTCATCACCTCTTCACAGAAGAGGGCATCCCAGGAAACATACTGCTGCTTCCTCCTTGGGACGACATTGAAGCCAGAGGAGGAATGACATAACAGATGGCAGGAGTGCACTCTCAAAAACTTGTCCACTTTTCACATTCTTCCACTCAGGAAGAGAGGTAGAGCGCCAAAAGTTACTTTGCATTCAAAAAATAATCAAGAACGTGTGGTTTCGGGAAGTGCTGCAAAGAGAAGTCCCCTTGCCCATAAGGAAAAAAAAAAAAAAAAAAAAAAAAAAAAAAAAAATAAGACTAGAGACAATAAGACAATATTACAAGAGCTCCCAAATCTTCCAATTCTGTCTCCTTGCCGGGACATCGGCGGAGCTAGAGGGAGAGGTTGTAACCAATTCTTTAATATAAACTGTTGGACTAAGTGCAACAACAAGGGTGCCCTCTGGTGAGTAGTCACTAAAGTACTTCAGTAGAAGCCAAGTATTTAAAATGATAGATTGTTTCTGACTCTTGCTCTGTAATTTTCTTAAAGTTAAATGTAATGTTCATGTGTAACTTAAACCTGTTAGTAAATAATTGTTACACTATAAAGGACTCTAACATGGCCCCTTAAACTCTATATTTTTAAATAAATTCTGTATGTATTTTGTATTATAATTATTTTTTATTAATAATATAAAAAGGAAGCTACTGCAAAAATGTACATGTAGAATTCACACTATAGCATATTCTCAAGTGCTAAATTTGCCACTAACTTATACAATTAACAAAAATGAAGAAAGTTCTTTTAATATTATTCAAAGAATCAAGGAATCAGTGGCTTTGCATTTTAATGCTCAGAAATCTCAAGTAAAAGGTGAAATAAAAAAGAGCAATAAGATTTGAAATTTTTGCTCAGTTTATAACAAGACACAGTTCTATTGACTTTTAAGACAGAAAAAATGACTTGTGAACATTTTAAAAATTTTACAAAGCAGTAATAAATACTTCAGTACTTACACTGCATACTCATGAATTAAAGACAGAAATAGTTTTAAAATCACCAACATGAAGAATAAAAATATTTTCTTACCTATTATCTTCATTAAATGGTGCAATACAATGCAGACCCTTATGTAGTGCTAGGCATTTTTTCAATGTTTTATTTTTCACTTGTTCATTTATCTCATCCAGCATTTTATCTAAACTAAAATATGCATATTTATAAGCAATGAGAAAATATTTGAGATATAGTAATAATTTGACCATAAAATTCAAGAACAAGTCTAAAAAACTATGCTATTATGAATTTTTAAATATATTGTTTTTTTGTCAACTCCCTCTCTCACACTATTTAAAGAGGTACTTACCAGTCAACAAACTTTGCTCTCTGAACATAAAAATGATCAGGAGATATCACACTTGAAACATACACATCTTCAAGTATACTGCATTCCAAAAAGGCATATTTTAATTGTGTTTCATCTGTTAATTCAGCCTGACTTACAGCTTTTACTGAAATACAGAATGAATGAAAATTTTATACTAAGTTATACTTTTTGAGCATACATTATGAAATAACTTTATGCAATGTTTACTTCGTAAATGTGTTTAAAACTGTTAATAATTTTGAAGCAATTTAGAAAAAGAATTTACATATGCAATTTAAAATACAAAGTATACTTACCAACACGTCTAGGTAAAGAGACTTTATCTTGGCAAATTTTATATAACAATGGTAGATGTTCTTTATTATATTTAGCACACCCAGCATCTTTTAATGCTTCATCTAATTTTAGTACATTTAAGTAATCATCAATAAAATACAGTTTTTCCCTAAGTACAAGTGGATGTATCCATAAGGTTTCACCAAGACAAAGAGCAATCTAGAACATGAAAACATGAATTTAGATAAAACACCCATTAACTGAAAATATACTTCTTTGTATATGACATAGATAACTTCTCATTCCCTGTCTCTCAGATCTGTAATGTTCTAACATTTTCATGGCATAAAATTATAACATGATAAATCCACATACTTAGTATGCAAAGAAAAAAAGGCAATTTCTGTGATGAAGAGAATGTCTAAAAGAGCAAAAATTTACATATTTACAAAACACGGTATCCAGAATAACTTTGCATGGTTGAAAAGCTTTTGCTTTAATATCATTATGACGTGAATTATGCCATCTCAGATGATGGCACCTCACACATTTTCTCTACAAAGAATAGGCTAATACCAAACTCAATTATCATAAATATTATGCCCATAAGCATAATTTTTTTACATGCTTTTTGAATGAATGAGTACTTAACTTATATAAATTTTCATGGGATTAAAGTATCAGTTAAAGCTCTACATAATGAACACGTGTTCTCCAATTTCATTTCATTTAAACATCTGTACGTCTCAGCTCAGAGAAGGAATTTTCATTGGATCAGAGATTAGAGATTAGACTATTTTTTAATAGCTTAATTTTATAGACAGTTTAAATAAAACACGGAAAATAAACTAAGGATGCATTTAAAAAAGACTGCAACAACTCTTGAGAAAAAGAGAAATCTCAATCAAGGTGTACTTCTTCCATTCATTTTTTTTAAAATTATTATCATCATTTAAAGTGAGCAAATGTTTCTTCCAGACACTGTTCAAAATAAAGAGGGGGGGGGGAGGAATCTGAAAGCGTTCAGATTTTATATTGTGCCCAAAAGGAGTCTTTTCAACATTTTATGTACTGCTTTTATTGATTAAATATCATGTTCTTCGGGCTTAAAACACATAAAGTATATTTAAAAACAGCATATCATTAGAATTTCTGATACACAGACTCATACGCTGGAGATAAAAAATGTCTTTCCCCCCCCTTCATTCAGTGTTGCCATTGCTTGCTTTGATATCGTCGAGTTTGTTAATCAAAAATTTGTAAATGCTTTATAAAATCTGAAACAGATAGTAAAACAAATTAAAAATTTAGGCTTTCCGATGCCCATATTCGAGTCGAGGACTACGTTATTCACAATGTGATGTCTCTTGGTAACATTATTTTTTCATAATGCGAGAAACATTCATGCAGATTCTTCATTACTTAGTTTCTTTAAATATAATACATGGTGATAATATTTGGTGGCAACAGTTTGAAAAATGAATTGATGCAAAATGCCGTTTTGAAATTAATAGCCTTTAAATTGCCTTTTGAAATTTATATAAAATGCAAGAGTTACATATGGCAATTTAAATATTACATATTTAAATTGCCATATTTGAAAGGTTTTATATACTTAAAAAATAGGAAAAAGTGATTTTGTTGTGAAATTGGTTAGTGTTTTAAAGACTTCTACAGAGAGGGTAGCACTGGACAAGCCAAGATCAAGTGAACTTATAGGAACTGTCCTTAGTTTTTGAACTTTTTTAATAAAAACACTCTGGTAAAAGTCTTTTAAAACTACAGTTTTACAATTTAGAAATTGGTAACTTCTAAAGCATTTATTTTTTTTTACTAACTTGCATTAGTCGCCCTTACAAAATTTGTTCAATGCTAAGATAATAATAAATGCATTGATAAATGAATCACAATGTTCTTTTTTTAGCTCAAAAGATATGTTAGCCCCAAATGGGATATTGGTCTGGAAACAGCATTTTGCATTGAATTACTATAAATGGCGTATCACTTTTCAAATTGTTGCCAGGAACACGCATAGGATATTATCTAAAACCAGAAATTATTTATATTTTTATGTTAAAAAAATCTGATATGCACAGAACATGACATCCTTTAAACATATTTCCTTGAATTATTCTAACGTAATTAACCAATCCCTTAAAACCTAAATTGAAAATGACATCACAAATTGCAAGTTTTTATATTATATATTCCAGTCAATATTCGTCACATATGAGTCAAACTGCTCATAATTTTATTTTTTTTCATGAGTATAAAACTTCCCAAATATAAGTAAGTTTCAGTGTGTACAACATTTCAAGATAAAGTCATGTAACTTCGCAGTTTCGTGGCCACTGCAATTAATGCATACTACTCTACCACTCTAATGCATTTCTGGTTCTGAGAATATCTGAATTTTACAGTGTGCACATCAAATCCACAAGATTTGTCAGAATTGAAAGATACCATAAAACATGAAGTTATACAGATTCTTCCTGCAATGTTACATTTGTCAATATTGTCATTTATGAAGGTAAGCAAAATGAAAACTTGTAATATTCCCCCCCCTCTTCTAGCATTATCATTACTCCTTTACAATGCTCTTCTTTGAAGATGTTTACTCTGGCAATTTTCATCATACGTTTATGGCTCCAGTGCCGTTTATGGTTTTACAACGTGTAAATCAATTTGAGAAGGAAAAAGTAGATGTTGCCATTCAAAAATTTTGAAATATTTTCACAGTAACCATAACTGCGAGAGCTCTATTGTTTTAAATAACTACAATCTCACATGCAAACCTTCAAATAACATCCGAAATTTAATTACAATTGGTTCAGTGGATAAGCAACTAGGGGTTCATGTATCAGAGAACTTTTATGACCATCTTGTATGCATATATATGTATATATATATATTACAATTGGTTCAGTGGATAAGCAACTTTTATGACCATCTTGTATATATATATGCATACTCATTCATAGGGGATTTTTTTGTGATGTCTGTAATACATATCAGGGTTACCACACAAACAGGAGAATGAAATTCCCTGACTTTTCCAGGTAATTCAGAAAAATTCGCCTAAGTCCCACCGAGTCCAGATGTACTGATTTGGCTGTACTAAGAAGTAATTAATGGTATTACTTGTGTTGTGTAGCAAATTCACTTAATTATTCACTAAATCCCAGAGTGACATTTATTCTTAATTATTCTTGGTATAATTCGTTTGATAATTTTGTTTACTTTTCCACTTAAGAAGCTTAATAAAATTTAAAATATATACATTGGATAACAATTGTATGTTTTATTTAATTGTTACTCATGATCATCGCCAGTTCAATACGAGGTTAATCCGGTCCTTATAAATTACAATGCAATGCTAAATAGTTAGCTTAGATTTTAGACAAATTTAATTTGTGTGAGGTGTCTTCTTAAAAGGTACCTTAACACTTGAAAACACAAATATAAAATTACAATGCAATGCTAAATAGCTTAGATTTTAGGTAAATTTAATTTGTGTGAGGTATGTTCTTAAAAGGCACCTTAACATTTGAAAACACAAATATAATTATAATAGTTGTTGTTTTCTCCACTGAAGATTGAAGATTAGAATCTTCCCCAATCTGGAATTAAAATAATGGCTTTTTTTGCAAGACATTCTTGCAGCTAAACGAAAAGAAATGTAAATTACTATTTTAAAATAAATTGAAGGTATTTTATATTTATTTCAGCAGCATACATAAGGAAAAAATATGTGCATTAAATTTCGTGAATGGTATGTCATCATGCTGCTAGAATTAATTTCAGGATTAATTGCCAGAGAAAATTTTCCTGACACTTGGAATGCATTATTTACTAACAATAATAAATTTAGAGGGAAGAAGCAACTTTAAATTATAATGATACGGACAACAAAAATAAAGATAATTACGTTAAAAACTTAATTGGAACAATCAATGATATATTTTAGCGAATATAGTTATATTTAACATGGTTAGCCTAGATGACTGATTACTATTTTTTTATTTTAACTTACTGCAAAATGACAAGATATTTATTAAAAAGAAGGGGAAAAAAAAAAAAAAAAAAAAAAAAAAAAAAAAAAAAGGTTTATAAAGATTTTGCGGTAAAATTCTAAGTATACATGGTAAGGCCTTGGCACGATTTTGAAAATTGCCGGCGTGAAGACCAAAATGAACCCGTTTACTGCTCATCATCATGTCGCCAAATCCCATTGTACCAATACATGGAGATTATTCTAACCAAAAAAGTCTATGTAAAGACGAAAAGGTTCCATACACGTAAAATGCTATTACGCCGCTAGAATGCGGAGGGAAATTTTGCCAAGGGATTTGGCGAAGGAACCTGGTGGCCAAAATTTCCCTCTCCACAAAGTGTACAGGAAATTGAAAAACACGATTTATGAAGAAACGTTCTTTGACAAAAAAGAAAACTACAAAAATCCGTTTTTAAATTATTGTGAAATTCGCAATAATTTTTAAAACGGATTTTCGTAGTTTTTTTTTTCCCTGAAAAGAACTAATTTACTTGCGCCAAAAAATATTTTCTTTATCTTTAGAGTTTAACCGCTTGCGCTAAGACTAAACTTCACGGTTGCGGTGCCGTGCGCTATAATATAACAAGTGGTAAAGGGTCTCATTTACGCCGTTCAGCATCTGCGAGTGCAATCCAGAGCTGTAACTCGAGAAATAAACAATCTCGTTGTTAGGCGACATGTGCACCACGTTATTTTCATTTTTTCGATAAATGCTTATAGACGTGGTGTTCACTCGCTCACAGTTTGAGACAAAAGCATCTCGACGTGCGTGGATTCATTTTATGAACTCTTGATAACGTGACCTTCGAACTTCGACACTGGTTTCAAGCTTTGGCGACAGATATATCACGCATGCACAGCTGTTTTCCTCTATGATGGAATGGAGCCATGTCTGTTGCAGAGATTTTCCTTCTTTACAATATATATTCTTTGATTCTAACCTCCATGGTACCGTATACTAGGATTAAACCCATTTTGTGTTATACGAGAACAGGTACTTTCTTTAGTTCATGCACTGCACATGCGATTCTCTAGAATACTGGAAACCAAAAGTTGCGGGAAACTTGCTTTGCCTTTCTAAAAGAAATCAAATTGGAGCTGCGAAAATTGGCTCTATGCCAGCTGCCCGAATGACACTCACGTGATACACAGTTCGCCAAAAAAGTTATCTCTTCCGACGTCGGTGCAAAAATCGCTTTTTTTGGCGGAATCGTTGTATGAAATTCCCTGACTTTTCCAGATTTTGACAAAAATACTTAAATTCCCTGACTTTCCCTGAATTTTTTGGTCAATTTTCGAATTTCCTGACTTTTTCCGGTTCTCCCGGTTTTCCAGGTAGCGTGGCAACCCTGACATATGTATGTATCATGTATAACTTTGGCAGTACCAAACATGCATGCATGTATATATATATATAGACTGCATACAACTTTTTTTGTTGAAATTCCGACAACGTGCGCCGCAAAGTGTTAACCCTCTCACTGCATACTCTTTTTTAAATCAAAACAGGTTAAAAAATTGCGTATTTTTTATAACATATTTCAAATCTACATATATTTCAGAGTCTCTCTAGTGCGCCGCGAAGGGTTAACCCTCTCACTGCATACTCTTTTTTTAATCAAAACAGGTTAAAAAATTGCGTATTTTTTATAACATATTTCAAATCTACATATATTTCAGAGTCTCTCTCTAAAAAAAGATCTTTTACAAGAGTTTTTTTTTTTTCAATATAGAATTAGATCATAGAAAAAGGTTGTCAGAATACTAAAATTGAAGAATAATGATATAAAAAGAAAATTTTGAAAATTAATACTGGTTAAATTATCATTTATTTTATAAAATACAAAGGTAAAACATATATACTAATGAAAATATTTGCATATGAATTTTGCACCACTGTCGAACGTTTTCAACAGAAACTGAATTTTCAGATTCATCACTATCTGCAGAGGAATCTGAGAAATTCTCATCAGTTTTGCTATAACTATCTTCAATACACTTGAAATCAGAGTCAGAACTACTATCAGTGTTGGAAATACAGTCAGGAATATAGGTTATATCACCCGTGAAATGCTTCCTGCCAGACATCTTTGAGCTCTGAAAAGCGCGTGCAAAATACTACATTACGTGTTCTTGTATATTTGGCAGAAATGTGGACAACTAATGCCATCTGTTAGCCCACATCTAAATAAACAATTAAGCATCACAGAAAAGCTAAAAAGGAAACCTTGAACAGGGAAAGAGTGGGTTGCACAGTTAACTAGAATTCATCCCCGCGGAAATCGCGGGTTGCACAAATTTTGTTACTTCTATGTTGCCGTGGAAATTGCAGGATGCACAGCGATAGGGTTAATACATGGAAAGGAGTTAAATCAATTATCCAAAATTATGCCACTTGTTTAAAATATTCTCATTATCTACATAATATTTCTCAAGACTTGAGCCTCTTTATCCATTAATGAATAAAGATGTTCTAAAAAAGGTTAAAAAAGGAAATTCTTAGAAGAAAATACTGTAATAATAAATAAATGCTTGTAGTTCTTAATAATTATTTGGTAATTATAGAGGGAATCCCATAAATATTGGTACAAACTTTTAAGGGCAGGTAGAGCACATCGAAAGGTTTGCGAATTGCATAGCAAGGCAAGACCAGAAACGCGATGTGAAAGTGATATTAGAGGTAGAAGATATGCAGAGATATAAGACAAGATATTACCAGAAATATTTATTGCTCATAAATATTACAGAATACTGTAGCAGAGGATATTACCTTAAAATGCTACAAAAGATGATCAAAATTTCCATTGTTACCAGCAATGTGTACATTACATGAATGGGCGATGGATTGGTGGACATGTCAAAAACAAGGTGCCCCATCATGTTGAAACCACATGCTGCATCTTATATTTTGTGGCACAGGGTGAAGTAAGCTTGGTAGAACCGGTTCCAAAAAAGTGAGATAATTTGCTGATGTCATAGGTGATGGCAACAGGTAAGGTCTGACTAAGCAATCACCAACCAAACCAGCCGTTATCAACAACACCACCTAGTAGCTTACTTTGACATTTGCAATCATAGGTTGCTATGCAATTCTCAGTTCTTTCATCATGCCCTACCTGAACTTAGAATTTGTACCAATATATATGGGGCACCTAGCATATTCATTATTACATATAAATGCATACAACACAATAAGAAAAAAAAAAGAAAAAAAAAAAAAAAAAAAAAAAGAGTACTTTAAATCTTTTCATGACTTGGGCAAAATTTATCTTCCAACTTATTTGGGAATCACAGATTCTAAACTCTTGCTTTTACAAAAATGTTTACTTTTTATTTGTTCCCCAACATCCTTCTTCAAAGTTTCAATGACAATTTTACATGACTTTCTTCCCATTTTTTCTTACTCAAAATTTAATTAATTTATGGGTGATTAAATTCATAAGCACATAAATTTCACTTATTCAAGTATTTCTTCTAATATTATGATTTTATTTCAGCTACATTGTTTTCTGTAAGTCTGATAATTAAACAGCATGAATATATGAAAAAGCTGCAAAAGAATAAATATTTTTGGTCCTTTTTGTTTACATGAAAAAATTCTTTTTTGCAATAATACATTCTTCTCCCTTCCTTAGCAAACCCAAATGGGTAATTAAAATTTCTGTATATTAATGTAATTACCCAACAGTCCATAAAAGAAAACTAATAGCATAAAAGGAATGACAAGATTATCAGTTGGAAGAAAGCAATCTTTAAAAGTTTAAAAGTGAATGTAATATGAAATATTTAAATACAGTTTATAATAAATATAATGTTTGTTCTTACAAGAAATAAGACAAGTTCAACATGTCAAAATATGTAATATGTATAAAATATAGAAATGAATTATACATAATTTTACCTTTCCATGAATTTCTTTGCCTTCAATTAAATTAGAAACAAAATGGTTTGCTTGTGGATTCCAATTTAAACATGAATCTGGAGTTTTAACGTTGCACAGATATACTTCTAATGCAAGTGGTGGAGGCAACTCAATCTCATCAGAAAGATAATATAACTCAGTGTGGCCCATATATTTCACCCAACCTTCATCAAGAAAAAATACCTTTTTCTTTTCATTTTGGCATTTCGTTGCAGGCAATATATCTAAAATCTGTATGAAAACAATTGAAATAAATAAATGAGAATTAAAGAAACTTAAGATAAGCAAAATAATAAAGCTGTCTCTAGCACTGCAGAAATATATTAAAATCAAAAATATATAAATTAACATATTCAAAAGTTGTGAAGAAGGAATTCAGCAAAATTACATATATGGCATTCAATCAATAATACATAAAGATGGCTGGAAATAAAGTGTCGAAAACGGCTTCCACATAATAATAAACACAGACAAATCTGTTTTCATCAGCTGGCACATGGCATGAAATGTTATTTTTTTTAATGTTATATTTAAGTTATATGTCAGCAAAATTGGCAACAAGAGTTAAGATTTCAAAAAAAGATGTAAAATATCGGCTGTAATCTCCCCCCTTTTTAAATATATATATCGTTTGCTTTTTTTTTTTTTAATATGCAATGTTTTGTAACTGTGTTTTTTGTGTTCGTCATGTAAGATTTATTTGAAATAAAAATGTTTTCTTGGAATATAAACTTCAAGTACAGTTCGCTGAAATTTTGTAAAAATAAGGTTGACCCTGATTAGAAACTTTGGAAGAAAAAACGCATGAAACCTTTTTTCTTAATTTAGAATTTCAATATAAACACTAACAGGAAATTTGTAGTTAGTCGCCTTTAGTTTCCAAAATGGCATCCCGCTTGATGATTTGGTTTTGGAGTAAATACTTAGCATTAGTGCTACTGAAATCGAAACTAGAAATAATTATGAAATAACTTATGTCGAACAAATTTTATCATTGAGAAACATTGAAGCTTAGCATTTTGAATTGATTATTACTGATAAAGTTAAATTAATTTTGTATACTTTAAAAAAAATTCCATTTACAGAAAATTTTTATATTCTGAATTTAATATCATACTGACTGCATTTTTGGAAATATGTATATATGTTAAAATATGGCTGAAGCACAATCATACATGAGCTGTTAAAAAGGAAGTGCTAATCATTCAGAATAATTGTTATGAAGGCAGTTAATGATTTTGAAGCTGAATTATCAAACTCGGATTTAAATGCTGGAAAGATAGATCAGCTTTTAAAAATTTTTTCCATTAAACTTAAACCTCTACCCTTACTTGATCAACAACTTAACCATTCTTGCAGCCTGATGAATTTGATATCAAATTTGAGACTACACAAGAATATAGACAAAATGTATGGCTCTGTAATTTTGTGCAAAAAAGAAAATTGAATAATTTTCAAAAGTTCAAGTCATGATAACATACGAGCATCCAACGGTTTCTCAATCAGAACAAACTGCAAACTCTGACAGCCTTCATATTAAAGTCTCAAAATACCATACTACCCCATTCTTTCGAAGTCTCAAAATACCATACTGCTCCATTCTTTCAAGATTACAGCTCAAAATGGCTTAGTTTTCAGAACAGTTTCGAAACAGCTGTAAACAATAATGAATTCCTAAACAAAGTAGATAAATTTAATTAGTTAAAAGTTCATTTGGGAGAATCTGCTTTGAACACTGTGAAGGTTTTCTTATTTTGGCAGAAGCCTGTGATAAAGCTATACAATAATTAAAGGAAAGATTTGCCAATCATGAGATAATGATTCAAACACACATGAACAAGATTCTAATTATGCAGCCATTAACAAAACTTTAATGATATTATATCTTTTAGGAAATTTGTTGATAATTATAATGTGAATTCAGAAGTTTAAAATCATTAGACATATCTCCCAAACATTATGGAAGTACTTTGTGCCCTATGGCATTAAAACGTATTCCGACTGATTTAGTGTTAGTGTATAATAAATCACAAGAAGACAAATCTGGCTTGAACATTCAATGTTTCCTTTCCTTTCTTATCCATGCTTTGACAGCTCATATAAACAGCATATATATATATAGTTCGATTATAGTCTCTCGAATTACGAAACCAAAAACAAGATTCCAGATGTAATTTTTCACAGGATAGGAATTTCAATAGGAGAAAAAAAAAAAAAAAAAAAAAAAAAAAAAAAAAAAAAATTAACAGATCTTCCAACTGACGAATTACTGATAGTGTCAGTCAGGCGTAATACAGTCAAAAGTCGTTAATCCGGACTCTTCGGGACTTCCGCGATTCCGGATTATAGATCATCAGTTTAAATCTGCTAAGATGGCATGCAGAAATTATAAAATTAAAAATATGAAACCGTAATTTATAAAATAAAGAAAAATTATGAACTAAAGGGTATCAAATTTTACAAAAAGAAAAAGCTTAATATTTATTTGTTTACTTTATTAAACATTTCTTTCAATGTAAGTTGTTTAAGTTGCTTCGTTTCATGTTGCAATGACAAGATTATCAGTTGGAAGAAAGCAATCATTAAAAGGTTAAAAGTGAATGTAATATGAAATATTTAATACAGTTTATAATAAATATATGTTTGTTCTTACAAGAAATAAGACAATTTCAACATGTCAAAATATGTAATATGTATAAAATATTGAAATGAATTATACATAATTTTAACCTTTCCATGAATTTCTTTTTTCTTTGCTTCAATTAAATTAGAACAAAATGGTTTGCTTGTGGATTCCAATTTAAACATGAATCTGGAGTTTTAACGTTGCACAGATATACTTCTAATGTAAGTGGTGGAGGCAACTCAATCTCATCAGAAAGATAATATAACTCAGTGTGGCCCATATATTTCACCCAACCTTCATCAAGAAAAAATACCTTTTTCTTTTCATTTTGGCATTTCGTTGCAGGCAATATATCTATACTTTCTCTTTAATTCTATTAAACAGACATAATTTCTTGTTTAGTTACAAAGATCCGCTGTTCAAGTCCTATAATTGCTGCGTTGAGAATACCGACTAATTTGTCAATCGAAATTTTCTCATTTTCAATAACCTCTGCGTCACTTTCTTCACTATCGGAAGCGAATTATAATGACGATGAACTGGATTTAAATCATATCAAAGACAGAATACATCGAGAAGAAATACTACATTTAGTAAGGAATTATAAGCCAAATAAAATAAAAACATCTGCCCTGAAGATAAGGATAGTGCTGACAGATCAACTTCCAATTCATTGCGCGATGCGTCGTTTCCCTCCCCCTGTAGAGCAGCGTGAAATTGATAAACATATTTCGGAATGATTAGATAATTAAAGGATATGCCTTTATACATTTTTTGCAGCAATTCCACTTTCTGTTTAATGGAGTTCGAAACATACTTTCACTTTGAAGATCCTTTACATATTAGTAAATATATATCGGAAATTCTATTTGACATAATCGAAAGTTCAAGCTTACTTTTATAAAATTGCTCTAACAGTCTGCAAAAAAATAATAAGCCGGATCCAATTCGAAGATTGAGGAACAACGCAGTCTGCAACATTAACTGATTTAGATAATTTTAGCTTAGCTTATACCGTCCGTTATACATTAAGTGCGCATGTGTAAACGTATTATGTGCATGCGCATATGTATATTCGCAGCTGTAAAGGTCTTATGCGCACGCGTAAACGCTATGCATGTGCAGAAAGTTTGTAGCTTTGAGGTATGGAGTATAGATAATTCCGGATTATGGGTGTCCGAATTAACAACTTTTGACTGTATAGACAAAAGCAAAACTTGTTTATTTTGCAATTCTATGACTCGTACATTGGATAGCTGCAATGTAGTGATGAATCTTTTCTTGGAAGGGGAAAAAAAAATCCTTATTACAAAAAGAAGCCTGCTTTAACTGTTTACAAAAAGCAAAGCATTTATCATACAACTGTCCCATGAAGAAAACTAAATGTGAATTATGTTATGGCTTACATATATATATATATTTGTAAACTTTAACTGTTTGCACTGAAAATGGAAATTCAAGGAAACTAGTGAAAGCCATTTTTAGAAACTGGAAGCCACAGAAGATATATTTCAAAATACACTGCAAAAGCCACAGGTTTGATGAGTATTGGAAAACAAACAATAACTTGCGGACTTTTTGAAGGTAAAAAAATTACTTCAGTTCATGACTGATATACGATTAAATTATGCAATCATGATGGAATATTTAAATTTGTTATGGAAATCAATGATCAGGGAAATATTTGCTTGGGTATACTAGAATTAGTGATTATAACATTTTGTAAGAACTGAAAGAAATGAATATATTTACAACAGATTCCTATATGAATAAGAAGTAGCTTTGTTTTTCCAAGAAAGATGCTAATGAAACTCATATTTTATTGGGCACTATGGAAAAATTATTCACTGGTAATGTAAAACAACTTTCAGACGAACTCACTGCAGTAAAAACACATTTAGGATGATCCATTTTAGGAAAATACAAATACTAAACCAAAAAGTGTGCTTTTGGTGCACTCTTATGAATCTTGAAAACATAATCATATTTATGAGTACTAGATTTGTTAGGCATAAAAGATCCTAGTGAAAAACGATCAAAATAAGAATTTCAAGATCTTGCTTTGAAGCATTCTGAACACAGATTATCTAGAAATGAAGAAGGCACACACATAATTTACATTCCATAGATAGGACAAGCAAAACTTGGAGACAGTTTTGACTTGGCTAAAAAAGATTGAAGAGCACTGTAGGAAGACTAACTGATTATGAACAAGTGTTTGATGAATGGGAAAATGAGGACATTATCGAAAGGTTAACTTGTATGAATCTAGTAAAACTGGGAAATTTTATTACTTGTCCCACCGACCAGTGTTTTATGAAAATTCTACAGCTAAAATTTGTCTGGTTTTTGATGGGTATGCTTGACAGAAAAGACTTAGTTCACTCAACAAATGTGTAGAAAAAGGCTCTAATTTCACTGAAATGATACCTGCAATTTTGAATCATTTCTGATAATCAATTCTGATAGGAAAAATAGGGATCATATTGGATATTCAAAAAGCTTTTTTGCAAACTGCTCTACAAGAAAATGATAAGAATTTTCTTATCATCTTCATTAACGCTTTTTCTACGCTTCTTGTGGTGGGTAGAGGAAAATCCTGAAG